GTGTGCCCATAATGCGGTCGTGCTGGTGGTTGCGCTGGCGGCCCTGCTGGTGGTCGTGGTTGGTGGACGTGCTGGTGGTCGTGCTGGTGGTCGTGCTGCTGGCCGTTCTGGTGGAGGTGCTGGCAGTCGTGCTGGTGGTCGTGCTGGTACTTGTGCTGGTGGTCGTGCTGGGAAGTGCTGGTGGTCGAGCTGGTGGTCGTGCTGCTGGCTGGTCGTGCTGGTGGTCGTGCTGGTGGTCGTGCTGGGCTGGTGGTCGTGCTGGTGGTCGTGCTGGCGGTTGTGCTGGTGGTCGTGCTGGTGGCTGGTCGCGTTGGTGGTTGTGCTGGTGATCGTGCTGGCGGTCGTGTTGGTGGCCGTTCGTCGTGCTGGTGGTCGTGCTGGTGGTCGTGCTGGTGGTTGTGCTGGTGGTCGTGCTGGTGGCTGGGTGTGGTGGTCGTGTTGGTGGTCGTGCTTGGTCGTGCTGGTGGCTGGCCGTGCTGGAGGTGCTGGTGGCTGGTCGTGCTGGTGGTCGTGCTGGTGGTCGTGCGTGCGTGGTGCTTGTGCTGGTGGTCGTGCTGGCGGTCGTGTTGGTGGCCGTTCTGGTGGAGGTGCTGGTGGTCGTGCTGGTGATCGTGCTGGTGGTCGTGCTGGTGGTTGTGCTGGTGGTCGTGCTGGTGGCTGGGCGTGCCGGTGCTTGTGCTGGTGGTCGTGCTGGCGGTCGTGTTGGTGGCCGTTCTGGTGGAGGTGCTGGTGGTCGTGCTGGTGGTCGTGCTGGTGGTTCTGCTGGTGGTCGTGCTGGTGGCTGGCCGTGCTGGAGGTGCTGGTGGTCGTGATGGTGGTCGTGCTGGTGGTCGTGCTCGCGGTCGTGTTGCTGGCCGTTCTGGTGGAGGTGCTGGTGGTCGTGCTGGTGGTGGCCCCCCCACCGCTCCCCCCCTGCGCCCCCGTCCCCTTATTCCGACCGACCGTGCCCCCCCCCCCCGCTCCTCCCCTGCGCCCCCGTCCCCTTATTCCGACCGACCGTGGGCCACCCCCCGCTCCTCCCTGCGCCCCCCTCCCCTTATTCCGACCGACCGTGGGCCACCCCCTCCGCTCCCCCCTTGCGCCCCCCTCCGCTTATTCAGACCGACCGTGGGCCCCCCCCCGCTCCCCCCTTGCGCCCCCGTCCCTTTCTTCCGGCCGCCCGTGGGCCACTCCCCCCGCTCCTCTTCTGCGCCCCTCTCCCCTTATTCTGACCGACCGTG